ATGGCCCAGGCGGTCGAAGATGGTCCCAGAATGGCCACAGGACGGCTCGAGGCGGCCAAGAGCCTCCACGACCGAACCAAACTCGCCACGCCAGAAGCACCGCTGGGCAGGAGTTGGCGGCGCGCACAAGGGGGTGGAGGGAGGGGGGAGGGCTTCTTAGGAGGAGGCTGCTTCTTAGAAGGCGCCGGCCTTGCATCCATAGATGAGGCCCGCGCCTGCTAAGAGGCAGGGGTGCTTCTAAGAAGCCCTCACCCCTCCCCGCACCCCCTCTGCGCGTGGCTGAAGAAGCACCGCTGGGCAGGAGGGCGACGAGCGGCGGGCGCTGTCCTCCTGGGCGAGCGGCCAGCGCTGCAGCGCGCGCTGCAGCCGGTCTGCGGACGCACGCTGGGAGACCACCGCCGCCGCCGAAGTCGCCGTCGTCGCCGCTGCCGAAGTCGCCGTCGTCGTCGTCGTCGCCGTCGCCTTCACGATCGTCGTCGGTTTTCAGGTCCGCGCGCAGTCCTCATCACTGCTCTCCCGATCCACACGACTTGCTGGACTTATCGCGCCCGTCGAACTCTTGGAGGGCTTCGCGCGCTTCTTTCCGCGCCCTTGGCGTCCGCGGACCCGCCAGCGCCGCCTTGAACGCTCGATCAAGGCGAGCGGACTGGATCTCCTCGCCGACATACCTCCGGACACTCGGCAGGACCCGCCCCACATGAATCGGTTGCCGACCTCGCCAAACCTATCTCCTGCATTGGGCGAAGATGTCTTGTCCCGAAGGGCCTCGCACTCGAGGCCATCACTTTCCTCTTCATCATGAACCACTCCCACTCGACTCGGATCCGCAGGTCTGATTCTGCATCTGCTTCGCAGGAACTGATCAGGTGAACATTCCGCGCATCGCAGCCCGCGGGATTGGCGCTTGCATGTCCGCTCTGCTCTGGCATTCTACAGTGAGCGTTCGAAAAACGCCTTCAGCCCCCGACTCACGTTGGGCCCCCAGATCGACCTCTCCTTTGCACCCCTTGTACGCCTCACTGCCAGTCGCTCTGCAAGCCGCTTGCAACCTGCCAACAAACCTGCAACGTCCCTGCTTGACGAGGTCCATCCTGGCAGGTCTGCGCTGGATCGGACGCGAAATCGGATCGAATCGCCAGCGAATCGTCCCGAATCGGGTCGGTATCGCATCGCTGGGCCCCGCTTCCGGCTGGCCCTGGCCGATGCTGGTGCGCTTCCGGCTGGCCCTGGCCGATGCTAGTGAATGGAGCAAGATCGCATCGAATTGGAATCGCAGCCCCATCCGGCGAATCGAATCGCATCGAATCGGATCGTAGGCGGCCCTGCCTGGCCCCATCCCTGCGGTGATGAGAGAGGGCCAAACCATCTTTGGGCGCCACAATGACCACATATTGGCTCCATCGGGACGCGCCGACCCGGGTCAGCGCAGCCTCGGGCCCACCAAGAGCGCACAATAAAGCTCCCCAACTGAAAGCCAGCGGAAGGATACAACGGGTGCTGTTGGCTCCGCCAGGCCCCGAGCAGTTCCCAAGACTCCCAGGAGAATCCCCACGCAGTGCCCAAGAAGCCCACGACGCCTCCACCGCAGACTCCACGCCCTTCCCGGGGGTCGGCGGAATGGCGCAAGCCTCTCGAGTACTTAACAGGCGTGGTCGGCTCCTCGTGGACGACCCTGGAGACCCTGACCCCAAAACGTGCCGACATCTCACGCTGACTTCCGCCGACTCATGCCCACCTCCCCGTGGCGGAGCCGCAGCCGCTTTCCGCCACTGTGCCCCCCGGCACGCTGAGGCGTGCCAGAATGCCAAGTGCTGCCTGGTAGCGTGTTTCTTGTGTCATCTTCTCAGAGACACACATGGTTCCAGTTCGGGACAACCATGTTAGATACCCCACTGGGTGGCCTGGACAAGTAAAAACACGTGGTTCCAGCTCGGGACAACCATGTTAGATACCCCCCTGGGTGACCCCCACCCCTCTAGTCGCACTTCGCTGCAGGCACCCGCCACCCTCCCGAGGCTAGAATCTCTTGCAAAATACGGCAGGGTCGCACTCCCAAGGCTACACGCCCGGGTAACATATGACAAATTCGCGCTGGAGAAGCCAAGATGCCTCCAAGACGGCCCTGGATGGCTCCAAGACGGCCCACTGTGACCTCAAGACGGCCCAAGATGGCCTCAAGACGGCCCACGAGGCGTTCGAGACGTCCGAAGAGAGCCCCAAGAGCCTTCCCAAGAGGGCCTCGAGGAGGCAACAATCAACGAGGTGAGCGTTTCCTTATTCGGCGTTTCGGCATTGGGCTGAAGGAGGGGGGAGGGGGGGAGAGGGGGGTCTGACTCCGGACTTCTGCTTAGTGCGACTCTTTGGAACAATGCTCCCATCGGGAATCCTATGGGGAGCTGTCCGGGGGGGAGAGGGGTGCGAGTGCCCGCGCCGATGTGGGGGTTTGTGGTATGTGGTAGTGGTGGTAGAAGTTTGGTGGTGGTGCTGGTGGTGGTGGTGGTTTGTGGTGGTGGTGATGGTGGTTTGTGCTGGTGGTCGTGGTTGTGGTGGCTGTGGCGGTGGTGGTGATGTGTTGGTGGTGTGGTGGTGGTTTGTAGTGGTGGCGGTGGTGGTGGTGGTGGGTTGTGGTGGTGGTGGTGGTGGTGGTTTGGTGGTGGTGTAGTGGTGGTTTGTGGTGGTGGTGGTGGTGATGGTGAGTTCTGGTGGTGGCGGTGGTTTGTGGAGGTGGTGCTGGTGGTGGTGATGGCTGTGGTGGTGGTGGTGGTGGGTTGTGGTGGTGTGGTGGTTTGTGGTGGTGGTGGGTTGTGCTGCTGGTAGTCGTGGTGGTTGTGGCGGTGGTGGTGGTGTAGTAGATTGTAGTGGTGGTGGTAGTGGTGGTGGGTTTTTGTGGTGGTGGTGGTTTGTGGAGGTGGTGGTGGTGTTGGTGGTTTGTGGTGGTGGTGGTTTGTGGTGGTGGTGGTGGGTTGTGGTGGTGGTGGTTTGTGGAGGTGGTGCTGGTGGTGGTGGCGGTGATTGTGGTGGTGGTGGTGTGGTGGTTTGTTGTGGTGGTGGGCTGTGCTGCTGGTAGTGGTGGTGGTTGTGGTGGTGGTGGTGTGATAGATCGTGGTGGTGGTGGTGGTAGTGGTGGGTTTTTGTGGTGGTGGTGGTGGTGGTGAGTTGTGGTGGTTGTGGTGGTTGTGGTGGTGGTGATGGCTGTGGTGGTGGTGGTGGTTGTGTGGTGGGTTGGTGGTGGTGGTGGTGGGTTGAGGCGGTGGTGGTGGTGGTGTGGTGGTGGTGGTAGTGGTGGTAATCGTCGCTGCGTCCCCGCCGTCGCCGGCGCCAGCGCCGGCGCTGCTGGCCGCCGCCAGCGCCGGCGCCGGCGCCGGGGGGGGGGGGTTTGAACCCCCCCCCCTTGGGCTGCTGCCTCTGGTCATCGTCGTTTCGTCCCCGCCGTCGGCGCTGCTGGTTGCCGCCAGCGCCGGCGCCAAGGGGGGGGTGGGGGGTTGACCCCCCCCCCTCCGTGGGAGGGGGGTGGGGGGTTCAGGAGGGGGGGTTTGGGGGGGAGGGGGGTCCCTCTGGTTTTGATTGACGGCGCCGAGTGTTGGGGGGGGGGCACCCCCGGTTCGAAACGCGCCGCCGAATATTCCCAAGGCAAGCCCCCGTGAAACGCGTTCTCTTTGATTTCGAGGCAGTCCCCAGCTGAGTTTTTTCTCGCTCGGGAAGCTAGCTCTGGATGGTGTAGACTGCGTAAGGCGACAAGGATGGCAGCACGCTGGTGCAACTCGCATTCTCATCCCACCACATAGCACACGCCAAAACTAGGCTTGAACCAAAATGCAGCTGCGGACTTTGTCAAATGTGAAACGACGACCGGCGGCGACGACACTCAGAAGTCAACCTCTTGGCCGTCTTTGCTCGCTTGGGGAGGCGGCTAAAGATGACGACAACAGAATGGATGATTCAGAAGATGAGAAGATGATGGGGAAAAAAGGGGAATGTGGGGAGAAGGGGGGAAAAGGGGGGAGCAGGGGAAGCGGGCGAGGAGGCAGGGGAGAGGGGGGAAGCGGAGGGGGGGAGCTGGGGATCTGGGGGAGAGGGAGGGAAGAACAGGGGGCAGGGGGGGAAGATGGGGAAGTAGGGGGCGGTGATCGGGATGTGGGGAGAAGGGGGGCGAGGGCGGGGAGAGGATGAGAAGCGGAGAAATGGAGGGGCACCGGGAGGAGGGGGGGGGGCAGCGAGGCCTGGGCGGGGGGGCGGGCGTGGCCTGCCGCGAAGGGGCGCAGGGCGCCGTAGGTGAAGCTCGTGATCCCGAAGCGCTCCTGACGTGCCAGGCGGAGCCCGGTTCGCCTACTTGGTGTCGCGGCGGCGGCCCCGGCGACACGCTGTGCCCTACGAGCGGATAGCGCGTCGCTCCGCTCCGCGGGGCGGGGCCCCCCTACAATAAAGCATGCGTCCCCTCCTTCCCACCAATCTCATGACTTTCTCCGTCCAAGGCAGTTTTAGTCGGCGGTGAGGAGCAGCGGGTCCGAACATCACTACCACCAGGGAAAACACAAATCATACATTGAATAGTATGACCATAAGTGGTCGTATGATCATCAGCAGCATCATAATTATTCTCCTTATCATCAGCATCAGCAACATCATGACTCATAGGCCCCTTGTTGGGCACACCCTTCACACGGTTCGTGGCCCCATAGGTACTTCCACGGAAGGTTCCAATGGCGCTGCCCGCTTGTGTCCGCGATTTTCGTCGAATCCATGTTAGCACGCCCCTCACATGGTCCGTGGCCCCATGGGCCCCTGCTCCTGTTCCCCATCTGGTCCTGCTCCTGTTCCCCTCTGCTCCTGCTGCATACCCTGCTGGTGCTGCCGCTGCTGCTGCTCTTGCCGCTGCTGCCGCCGCTGCTGCTGCTGCTTGGTTAGCTTCGCTACGATAGGCGGAAGAAAAGAGGATGAGGAAGATGAGGGAGGCTCCACTCGCTAGACTCCTCCCCTTGGCTCTTACTCTCTCCCCTTTTCCTCGTGCGGTGCCCTTGCCGACTTGGAACGGCAGCCGGACTATTCCCATCCAACTGTGGTTAGCGTCCTCACCTTGGGGCCTACACGCCTTCCGGCATGTCATAGAAGTCCGAAGAAGAAGAAGCACAATAAGCAGGAAGAGAGAACTGGCAGGCAAAGGAAGAACTGGCCAAAGAGTATACCGACGCGCATGAAGAACAGGCTGCCCAGACTTATGACGTCAGAGTGCACTTCTACGCTTAGCGTCGTGACTGGCACGATTTCCAAGAAGAAGGACTGGGAGGAGCATAAACATGTCGCTGCTGTTGCTGCTGCTGCACCCGCCCATACGTATAGGGCAGCAACACATGCGAGATGCACAGCAAAAACGCGATAGCTCGAACCCCGTACTCTGGCAACCACGGGATTATACGGAAGAGCGCCATCAGCGCATCGCACGCGAACGCGCGAGGAAGCCAAATCACTGCTGTGAACCTCACTGTTTTGCGGCACCGGCGCCGCAGGCATCCCAGGAGCGTCTTCATAATCATTGCGGCTTCATGGTTCCACTGCTGCGATCAGCTGCCGGACCTTGGTGGCCTTGTCCAGGCCCATTGTTGCGCTCAGCGAGTTGAGGGTTAGGAGCTCGTTCAATTTGGCCTGCGTTGCACCTTCCATGGCAAAGAATTCCTTGATCCATTTTTCCCGGTCTTCTGACATGCTGTCAAGGACGATGGAGGGAACGAACTTCTTCGCGGCATCCTTGATCTCCTGCGGTACGTCCGTCTTTGGGTGGTCTCCGTCCACCGGCGCAGCTTCCAAGATCAATTTCTTCGGCTTGGTCTGCGCTTTCGTGTGGGTCATTGCTCGCATCATTTGCGTCATTGGGCTTTCTTCCGCTGACCCGCTGCTGCCGCTCATGGCTTGGATCATCATCTGCATCATGTTATACATAGCATTGTTTCTTTGAGTTTTCTTGTTTTTCATCTTCAGCATGTTCTGCAGCATGGTCTGCATCATGTTGGTCATCTCCTCCTTCTCGGGGTCTTCACCTTGCATGAGTTTCATTATCTCGTCCTGGTCCCCGAAGCCGCCACCCTTGCTCTGGCCCATCATCTGCTGCATCATCGGGATCATCATCTTCAACTGCTCTGTCGTCTTATCTTGCTTTGGCGAGTTGTTTTTGCGCATGTTTGCCCACGCTTTGCGAAAGTCTTTGAAGCTGATGGTCATCGATTCCTCTGAACTTCCACTGCTACTCTGATTACTGCTTGACTCGTTGCTTACGGTGGGTTTCAACAGACGACCTCTTGCAAACTTCAAGAAACTAAACGGTGTAATTGATTTGCCGGCCTTTACATTGATGGGACGTCGCACTTCCTCACTCTTCTTCTCTGGCTTGCTGCTCTTGATGCCGAGCATGTCAGTCCGTCACTGACGCCCGGAAGCTTTTCCGCTCCGCCTTCTGCTCCGCCTTCTGAGCTCGTTCAGCCTGACGTTGCATGACCTTCTCATTCATGGCAGTGGCTCGGTCTAGTGACGCATGCACCCAAGCGTCACGCGAGCGATCTGGCTGGTAGTCTCCATTGCTTAGTGCGGTCGTCCTGCTTTGTGTACTTGTGCCCTGATCCGATTCCTCCGTGCTTCTGGCCTCCATTGCCCCATGCCATGGCCTCCAGCTGCGGACCTTCAACCGCAATCACACTCTGCGATCGACAGGGCTGGCAGGGCAGGAGCCACAGGCAGCTACGAGGGATTGGGTGGGGAAGCGAGGGATAAGAAGAGGGAGTGAAGCGTGTGATGCAAATCTCTCCTCTCGGTTTCACTGGCTCCTCTGATGTCATGCGAAGGGATGTGGGGAAAGCTAATACCAACATGTTTGGCAAATTGATGATCTGTGTACAACTGATGCACACACTCGCCGAAGTCTGCCAGTGCGGCAGATTCTGACAGTGGTGCTCCCATGGCCCACCCCTTCTGATCTTAAATATGGCCGACCCGACTCCGAAGTATCAGTCGTCTTTAACGTATGCAATTGATTTCTGAAAATCGGCAAAATTGAAATGGTCATGGTTTGGTCGAATCTTATCTCCAGGGCGAACGAGGTATCCACATGGTTTGCGCCCGCGCTGGATGGCCACCCCAATGACTCCCTTTGTCGCAGTGGTGCGGGCGAGCACTTGCTGGATACACCTCGATCCTCTGTCAAAATCCGCATCTTCGAAAAACTGCGAAGCACCAACTTTACAAAATGCAATTGGTTGTTTGCGTGTCCCGCAACCCCTGCACTTATGGTCAACTTCTGGCATGTACCGTAATCGTGCAGTTGTTTCACAGATAAGAGAAGGGACTTCAGTCGGAGACCAATTCGTCCAGCTGACGTGACCCGAATACTTCTTTGCGAGCCGGATTGCCCGGGCGGCTTTGCTGAGGAAGTATGTTTGTGTGGACCTGACGCAGCTGCTAATGTTTCGCACGTGTGCATGTGGCTTCTGGCAATATCAGTTCCCCGCTGGAGTGTGAAAAGCATTCACCTGTATATATGTAATGTACGCGGATGCGATGTGGTCAGCCGTTGCTGCCGCCCTGTTTCGCCACAGCTGGGGGACCATTTGCTGGTCCTTTTTTCCTTGCGCGTTTAGCAAGCGGTTTGCGGGTGAGGTCGGGCATGAGGCAATAATGCTCACGGTCGTCCAGAAACGTGCAGCCCAAGATCCAGATGTACGACTTCCATGGTACTTCAACGGGGTGTCCATGTCGACTCCCACCCATACCACCGAAGGCATGGTTTCAACCATGTACTTGCGAAGGATGTAAAATGGACCTGTGTCAACATACTTGGTATGTGGCCAGTGGTTATGCATAAATTGCCACAACCTTCGCTTGAGATTCACGGCATGTGGGAAAGCACCCACAAAGTGATAGTGCCAGTAATGTTTTCTGAGCTGTGATTACACATCCTCCCACAGAATGGGAATCCCAAATAACTCAAGCACGCTCCAATACGTGTCATTCCACACTATTTCACACGCCAACTCATGCCCATGATCATGGCATGCAGCATTGTACATGGCAGCGGAGAATGTGTTCGCAATGTGGTGTTGGTGCGTGATGTAGTCACTGTATTTCGGCACGGCTTTGTTAACCACACGAACCTTCGAATGAAGAAATGCATACAACGAGTTCCTATATTTAGTGATGTGATGTAATACTCGCGCACAACTCGTTTAACGCCTCGTTCAACATGTTGTTTGTCGTGCGGCACCTGCGTTCGGAACACACTTTTTGGGAGCAAGTTCCCAGTATGAAGGAAACGCTCCAACTTACTTGTGTGATCCATTGTTCACGTGGGGACCGTGCTGCATGATACCACACGTCGAGCGTGCAGTCCACAACGTTGCCGTGTCTCCACATTTTCCGATAATCAAGCCTTGCATTATGTTGGGTTGCAAGCCAAAGCTCGTATTTCCTATGATGCATGAGGATCTTCACCTGCTTTCTCTCAAAACCAAACGTCTCCTCACAATAATTGACAATGTGGCTAAATGTGCATTGTTGTGCATTAAACCGGTCCCGTAGCACCCCTGGCTGCTTGATATTATGGAGCAGGTTGGGGGACAATTCCTTTGCAGCGGTGGGTGCATCACGGAAGCGGGGGAACAGTCTGTACTCTCGTGCTCGTGCGCGCCCGTTCCATGCTGGAATCTTCTGCGTGGGTGGTTGGAGACCTTCGATGCGTAGGCTTTCATATTTGAGGACATGGGGAGTACTGCCAGACACCGCTGGGATTGAACAACACGCCCATGGAACAGTACTGCTCCATGATTTGTATCGTGGCCTGTGCACCTGGCCCCCTTGCGCCCTAAAAGCTGCGCCGTAATGCTCCCGGAACCGAAGCACTGGTCCAAACCACGTAGTTCGACCGCAGACTCGACGACCAAGTGCCTTCCCCACGTACCAGCTGCCTGTTTCAGTAGACAATGCCACATGTAAGAGGCATTCAGGCGTTTCGCTGCGTGTGGGTTCCCACATAGATGTTTTAAAAGCATTCCTAACATATGAGTACCAACAGCTGCAACTGAAACCGCCAGACAGCAAGACTGCTTGCAGAGCGGGTTGTGCAGCTCTGAATACGACCCGTATGTATGCTTTAGTGTCGTGATACTTGTGGGAGAAAAGCAATGCTTCGATGACGCTGGTTCCAAAAAACTTGTCCAAGCAACTCGATCTGCGTTTTCCACCGTCAAGCCAAAGAGATAACACACATCGAATTCGCCGTAACAGTGTGTATGTGTGTGCGCCAGTGAACCCCGTAGGGCCCATCGGATGAGCTGTGAGGACATGAACGTTATTTTACCAAAGTGCTGTCGGCTTTTCCAGAACAGTGTAGCACCAGGGTAGCGAGCATCTGATTCGTTTTCTGGTGTTGTACTGCTGCCTTCCATTCGTTTGCTGGGAGGTTGGGGAATACTTCTCGTGCATGCTTTCGGCTGCGTCCATTGTCGGGGACGCAGCTGCGGATCAAAATTGTAGCAAACATTAACTGCTTGGTTTATACACTCTCGCCTGTGATCAGGATTCGGAGGGTGGACTGCTTGGTTAGCTTCGCTACATTCGGCGGAAGAGACGAGGATGAGGAAGATGAGGGATGCTCCACTCGCTAGACTCCTCCCCTTGGCCCTCACCACTCCCTCCCCTTTTCCTCGTGCGGTGCTCTTGCCGACTTGGAACATCAGCTGGACTATTCCCACCCAGCTGTGGTTTACGTCCTCTCCTTGGGGCCTACACGCCTTCCGGCACGTAGAAATCCGAAGAAGATCAAGCACAATAAGCAGGAAGAGAGAACTGGGAGGCAAAGGAAGAAGTGGCCAACGAGTATACAGACGCGTATGAGGAGCAGGCTGCCGCATAGGAGGCCTATGCGAAGACATCGCATGACAGTCGATTGCACTTCTACGCTTAGCGTCGTGACTGGCACAACTTCCAAGAAGGAGGAATGGGATGAGCATTGTCGCTGCTGTTGCTGCTGCTGCTACTCCTCGCTGCTCCTCGCTGCTCCACGCTGATCCTCGCTGATCCTCCTCGTCCTCGCTGCTCCTCCTCCTCCTCCGCCTCCTCGCCTTGCCTCCCCCTCTTCCCCTCCCCCTCCTCCTCCTCCTCCTCCTCCTCCTCCTCCGCCTCCATCCTTACACTTGTAACTAACTTCTCACTGTCGCCCCCCTAGGCATGTTTTTTATGGCGGGCCGGGCGTTCCGCCTGAGCCTTCCTCACCACTGATGACCCTGGATCATAAAAATTGGCAACAGATTCACAGATTGAGGGCGGGTCGTTTTCAACATGTGGCTCTCGCCTTAGCGCCGCGCACATTCGTTGCAAGAACATGCAAGAGCTTCGCGAATTGAGGGCAGGTCGGTTTCAACATATGGCTCTCGCCTTAGCTCCGCACACATTCGTTGTAACACATTGCAAGCGTTTCACGGATTGAGGGCGATTCCTTTTCAACATGTGGCTCTCGCTTTAGCGCTGCGTACATTCGTTCTTTGTGTCGAAAATGCAAGAATTTCACGGATTCCCATGATCAGCGTACTAGAAATGGTTTTCTGGAAGGATTCAGGATTCCCCGGAATGGTGTTCTGGCACGGTTCAAGATCGTCAAGACGCAACAATCAGGTGGATCCGTGGCGGTGGGATCCCGAAACAATGTTTTGGCATGATTCAGGGTCTTCATACGGTTGTCTTCCAACGAGGCAGTTCTCTCAGTGGAAATGAACCGTTGTAGGGGCCTGTGAAAAGGGATATTAGAGGGAGATGTATTCCAACATCGTTGATGACTCTTGGGTTCCCACTGGTCCTCCTCCTCCTCCTCCTCCTGCTCCTCCTCCTCCTCCTACTCCTCCTCCTCCTCCTCCTCCTCCTCCCCCCCCCATCCCCCTCCCCCTCCCGCTCCCTCCCCCCCCCTTCCGCAACCGTGTTGGCTTGAGCTTCCCCGAGCCGCGGAACCTCCTCCCACCCCTCCGTACATCCGTATACTCCGTACACTCCGAAACATGCCTCTACAATCCGTGCATCCCTGCACTTCGAAACATGTGTCGACACTCTGCATATCCGTAAACTCCGAAGAACTCCGTTCACTCCTCCTCTTCCTCCTCCTCCTCCTCCTCCTGCTCCTCCTCTATGCTGCGACCTGCAGGGGAACATGTATTCCGAGGTGCGGGGGTGACTCATCTTGGTATCGACAGTGAAGCCGATAGTGAAGTCGATAGTGAGATCGATGATGGAATCGCTAAAACGGGAAGGATAGTGATATCAAAAGTGAGATCGACAGAGAGGTTGATTGCGACATTGGTTGAGAGAGCGATAGCGGAGGCGATCGTGACATTACATCGAAGCGCAACATCGTCATCACGCGTCGTCGCTAACTCGAGGGCGCGTCACCAGCAGTGTCATCATCACACCCATCGTCTTTGCTAGCAGTTGGTTCTTCCCCCCAACCCCCAACCTCTTGATCACCCAAAGGGTGGTCGTGTAGGCATCCCTCAAGAATCCCTAAATTCATGATCCCCACCCTGTGATTATCGGAGGCATTCGGTTAGCGTGTCGCGTCGAAGCGTGGTGGGCCAGAATCGGCGGCGCATCACGCTAACCAAGAGTACCCGACCGCAACTTCGCGCATCGCGCCCCGGGATGCGCGACGCGCGGTTATCTTCGCGCCAACGCGCCGCCGCACTGGGAGAAGGGCGCCCCTCCAACCCAAGCCGCGATGCCCAGAGCATGAACATTCTCGCGCCCCTGGGGGTGACCTGGGTTCGTGCATTGCTTTTTCGGCTCAGCCCAAGGTGCCCCTGCTCGTTGCGCCAGTTGGGAGCCCCGAGGGCCCTCCGGGCCTCCTGAGGGGAGGCCTCCTGGGGCCTCCCCGCAAAAAGCTGGTGCCACCTCCGGGAACAACCGACCCGATTGCCAGAGCAGACAGAGCCCCGATGGGCTTACGGCCCAAACGTTTCCCCACTCCTGTCATGAGGGTGAAGTGCCATAAGTCCGGCAGCATGAATGCAGCACCTCGCCAACCTAATCCAATACTTACCCGCGTACGGTTCACAACCGAAGCAGATCACAAGGGGCACAGCCTGGCAATATGGCACAGTCGTGGCGCAAATAATATGGTCATGTTCGCCTTCAACACCTGATTGAAATTTGTGCAACATATTCGGACAGCCGTGGGAGTCTACCACCAGTGACCCTACATATGCGGTATGTGCAAACATCGTAAGCCGCGGGACGCACAGTCTTAGTCAGTGCCTAGAGGAGCACCGTGGTGCCATTCGAGGGACTTCAGGAAAGTGGGACGGGGTGCCGACGGAACTCCACGCTTGGGAACCGCATCTAGCAAGACCGGCCAAAACATGAAATCCATCTCGCGGAGGTGGTTGAACATGCGATGGAAGTATTGCAGCTTCTTGAGCCGAGGGCACTGGGTGCGAAGACAGGGCGCGCTCAACTAGGAGGTTGGCACCCTTATTCGCCTTATCTACTTAATCTCAAGTGTAGGGCCTTGGCCCAGCACCGATCCAAGAGATTCACGAGGACCTCCGAAAGATTGTGCGTATTCCGATGCTTCTCATACTTCGATCCCCCTCCTCCTGCACTGTCGCTTTCCCGCCTCCCCAAGGCCCTTTCTTCACCTGGGCCCCTCGTCTCCTGCGCGGTCGTGCTGTCGTCGTGCCCGTGGCTATGCGAGTGCCCGTGGCTCGCGTCGGTGCACCCTGGGTCGGCACAAGCCTCCGCTTCACCACAGAGGGGAGGGGGGAGGGGAGGGGGAGAAACGACCTCCTGTTCCAGCTGCTTCTCCTGCTCCTCCCCCCTCCCTCCTTCCTACTCCCTCCCTCCGTGCTTCTCCTCCTCCTCCTCCTCCTTCTCCTCCTCCTCCTCCTCTCTCCTTCTCCCTCTCCTGCTTCTTCGCATCCCTCCTCCTCCATTGATATGAAACCGATTCGCTGAAGTACATGTTCCAATTCCCGCTCCCTCCTTTTCCTCCTCCTCCTGCTCCTCCTGCTCTTTCTCCTCCTCCTCCTCCTCCTCCTCCTCCTCCTCCTCATCCTCATCCTCCGCCGTCTCCCATCATGATCATCAAGGTCGTCGTCGTTGTCGTCACCACCACCACTTCCACCAAGCCACCACCGTCATCAACGCCACCATCATCTTATTAATACTCCTCCTCCTCCTCCTCCTACTCGTCATCATCATCATCATCATCATCATCATCATCATCACCATCATCATCACCCTCATCATCATCATCACCATCAACAGCATCATCATCATCATTAAAATCATCATCCTCATCATCATCATCATCATCATCATCATCACCACCATCATCATCATCATCATCATCATCATCATCATCATCATCATCATAGTCATCATAGTCATCATCATCATCGTCATCATCACCATCATCATCAGCGTCATCATGACCACCACCGTCATCACCAGCAGCATTAGCATCAGCATCACCCTCATCCTCATCATCATCCTGATCAGCATCCACATCCTCATCCTCACCATCATCATCATCATCATCATCATCATCATGATCGTCATCATCATCCTCATCATCATCATCATCATCACATTCATCAGCATCACCATCATCAGCATCATCAGCATCATCTTGATCATCGTCAGTACCATACTCGTCGTCATAATCATCATCTTCATCATCATCATCATCATCAGTAGCAGCATCAGCATCAGTAGCAGCATCATCATCGTCATCATCATGATCATGACCATCGTCATCATCATGTTCATTATCATCATCAGAAATATTACCATTCGTATACCATCACCACGACTCATCAGCATCATCATCATCAGAAGCATGAGCATCAGTGTCATCATCATCATCCTGATCATCAGCAGCAGCAGCATTGCCATCATCATCCTCATCATCAGCATCATCATCATCCTCATCATCATCATCACCATCCTCATCCTCATCCTCAACACCCTCACCAACAACAACAATCAATTTAAAACTATTCGTTCCTATCTGCTCGCGTCCCATTCCACACGTACATCCCAAACCCTCGGTGACAGCCACCCGCCCGCTTCATCTTCGATTTGGCCCCCCTTGGTTACCTGCCACGTGCATTCAGTGCAGCCCCTAAAGCACCGGAAGAAAGGGCGGAAGGAAAGGGGAGGGAGAAGGATGGAGCACGAGAACAATTAGCAGAAGGGGGGGTAGGAGCAGAAAACACGTGGCAGAACCAGACGGGCAGACTGGGCCGGCATACCTAGGCCCTTGCGGGCGGGTCAGGAAGGCGGGCCCAGGCGGCCAGGTCGAGCAGGCGGGTTGGTGAAGCGTGCGTCCTGCATGAATCGCGAGGAAGTCTCCAGCGATAGCGCGATTCCCAAATAAATTGTGAGAAATCCACAGCGAGAACCTGATTCTGAGTGTCGAAGGCGCGGCGTCGGGAATAAATTGCAAGGGGGTCCCACGCGAGAGCGCGATTCCTGCAGAAATTGTGAGGAAGTCCCGCGCGAGACCGTGATTTCTCACAACATTGTGAGGGAGTATCCGGCGGGAACCGTTGTTCTTGTTGTTGTTGTTGTTGTTGCTATTGTTGTAGAGTGGGGGCCAGGGGCCTAGTTCGGTGACACCCAGTCTTTTCTCTCTTGTAAAAAACATGGCGCAAGCCCCGGGAAGGGCACTCTAATTTAAAAATGCCACGGTTACTGGCGGGGGGATCAACAATACTACCTCTTCAGAAATGAGGAG